CGAAGCGGTACCTATTTATCTACTTGCAATTTCTGGCTTTGGAACCGCTAGGTTGGCAGGAGCTGGGACCAGAGACGGGTGCTCACTCTGTCTTGCGGCACTCGGGTCTCGAACTGCTGAACTACCTACCTTCCGGTCCGCGGTTCAGTATCGTAACCACTTGAGCCACCGCAGCCCCTCTAGTCCAATTAAAGGTAAAGGTAAAGGTTCCCTTGCTCGAAAGCCAGTCGAATCCGACTCTAGGGTTGTGGTGCTCATCTCCGTTTCAAAGCCGAAGAGCCAGCGCTGTCCGAAGACGTTTCCGTGGTCATGTGGCCGGCATGACTAAACACCAAGGCGCATGGAATGCTGTTACCTTCCCACCGAAGTGGTACCTATTTATCTACTTGCAATTTCTTGCTTTCGAACTGCTATGTTGGCAGGAGCTGGAACTAGAGATGGGAGCTCACTCCATCATGCGGCACCCGGGTCTCGAACTGCTGAACTACTGACCTTCCACAGCCTGCAGTTCAGCGTCTTAGAATTACAGTCCACCAATTGCTTCTTTTTTTCTTTATTTTACATCATGCAGTGCTGCTTCTGCTGCTTCCAGACAACTGCCCTAAGACTACAGATTTCCCAGGTAAACAATCTGTTTCCCTCGATGCTTCGTCAGGTCGCTTTATGCTTGGAGCCCATGCTCTATGTCTCCTACTCAGAATTAATCTTGTATTTTCCTTAGGCATCTGCTTGTTCACCTACAGCAGATGCCTAAGGAAAATGCAAAATTAATTCTGAGTAGGAGATGTAGAGCATGGGCTCCAAGCATAAAGCGACCTGACGAAGCATCGAGGGAAACAGATTGTTTACCTGGGAAATCTGTAGTCTTAGGGCAGTTGTCTGGAAGCAGCAGAAGCAGCACTGCATGATGTAAAATAAAGAAAAAAAGAAGGAAATTGGTGGACTGTAATTGGACTCGAATCACTTTTTCACAGTGAACATTGATGGGGTGCAACCTTTGGTTTGTCACTGTGGCCCATTTGTGGCTTGAACCACCTACAGGGTGGCAACCCTACCAACTGTGTTTGCTTAAAAATCACCTGCTACTACTAATGGTTATAAGAACAACTGTGGAGGGGGGAGCTGAGTAGCACACAGTTTCCAAAAAGAGGCTAAAGTCGGTTCCCAGTTCCCTGTCTGCAGTTCCGGGTTCCTTATTTTCCAGTCTGCAAGTCGGGAAACAATTTCAGCCTTGCCGGTCCCATTAAATAAAACTACTCAGAGGTTGCGAAGGACCCAAGGCCGGTCACTGTCAAGAAATTACCCATGCTAGGGATTTTATAAAAACCTATGAGTAGGTTTGATCATTGATTTATTTTATTCATACACTGCCTTTCTCTCCAGCGAGGATCCAAAACGCCTCATATCCTTCTCCTCTCCTCCATGTTCTCTTCACAACAACCCTGGGAGGTAGGTCAGGCTGAGAGTGCGTGACTGGCCCAAGGTCGCCCAGCAAGCTTCCACGGCAGACTGGGGATTCGAAGCTGGGTCCCCCAGATCTAGTCCGACACTCTAACCACTGCACCAATTTGATTGCAGTGGAGAGGAGTGATATTCGCGAATATGGGACTCAGGGCATTTCTTTATTTAGGGCAGCTTTACGCCTCCCCTTCATCCGAGTTCTTGAGGGAGTTCATGCGTACAGAAATAATGCCATAAAGAGCAGTAAAACTCTGAGATTAATAAACGATCTCAAAGGTTCCAGTGAGTCGAGTCAATAATCATAATAACCAATAACAGCAGCAGTTAAAAAGAAAGCCGTTAATAAAATGACTGCCAAAAAGACAAGAGCGGTAGATACAGGGCTCTTTTTGTAGAAAAAGCCCAGCAGGAACTCATTAGCATAATAGGCCACACCCAACACCAGGAACTCATTAGCATATTGGGCCACACCCTGACAGCACATCTCATTAGCACATTAGGCCACACCCCCATGTTACCAGAAGTGTGCTCATCCAGCCACACCCACCTTTCCCTTCTTATTCTGTTTACCTTGTTTGTTGTCAAAACCCAGGGCCTCTTTTGTAGCAGGAACTCCTTTGCATGTTAGGCCACACACCCCTAATGTAGCCAATCCTAATGAGTTTCTGCAGTTGGGTGTGGCCTATTATGCTAATGAGTTCCTGCTGGGCGTGGCCAACTTGGGGGCCAGCCGGAACTCCGTTTCTGTGCGCTCCTGCCCCAAAATAGCCCTGGATATACTCAGTGGAAAGCGATTAAGGGGGAGAACGAATGAAGCTGGTGAAACACACTCATTATGGCCCCAAGCACGGGACGATAGAACTGTCCTCACTGGACGCCTGAGCCTCCGAAGAGTCAGCTTTGGGAAGGGAGGCGGGAAGTTCTACGGGTGAGGTGCCACTTGGGTTGCCAGCTCTGGGCTGGGAAACACCTGGAGACTTTGGGGGTGGAGCCTGGGGCAGGCAGGGTTTGGGGGGGGGAGGGGCCTCGGCAGCGTATACAGTGCCATAGAGCCCTCCCTGTAAAGCAGCCATTTTCTCCAGGGGAACCGATCTCTGCTGTCTGGAGATCAATTGTAATAGCGGGAGGTCTCCAGGTGCCACCTGGAGGTTGGCAAACCTAGGCGCCACTCTGAAGCGGAGGCCACGCGCAGCAGGGGTTCTGAGGATGCTCTTCAAATGGCTGAGTACTGGAGGAGGTGGTCCTTGAGGGATCTTCGTCCCAGGCTGTTTAAGGCTTTCGATGCACCTTGAATCGGACTCAGAAACGAGCTGACGACCACTGGAGTTCTTTCAGTGGGTGTTCCCATAAAGGCGTACAGTTTGACAGTCTTGCGGCTGCCCTCCGTACCCACTGCAGCTTTCCAGTTGTCTTAAAAGGCAACCCCACATACGGCTCGTTGGATGTGATCGGCACATGGATAACGTATGGCCGGGTCTTACTTTTCCAGGAAGGGACTTCTCCGCTGGCAAATCTACTGAACCCAGATAAAGTCCGAGATGTCTGTTCTGCACATCCATCACAGGGATGGCTCTAACCGACAGATCGAAGGCTTTTCTGCATTCTCATTTTCCTTGCTTGTGTGTTCCTGTTGCCGGGGGTCTGTTCTGCCCACGTCTTGCCCCCTCTAGTGGTCAATTTGATTTTACATGGCGTTATGTCCAGCATATCTCCCTGGAACCCTCTGGCTGCAGGCCTTGTTCATCTAGTGAATGTGCAACCCGTACAAAACTGACAGTCCTCGGCTAGCTAAGCAGTCCATCAACAGGAACTTTTTTCTGGACTGAACTTCAATTTACTGGTCCTTGTCTAGTGCACTACAGATTCAAATCGTCTGTTCGGAGCATTCGGTGCCTCACCTGAATCGGATGGAAAGGAAAAGAGAGCAGTGTTCCCTCTAAGCTGTGTGAGCTAGCTCACAGCTTTTTAGCCTCCAGCTCACACATTTTTGTTAGGCTTTAAGGTGCTGCTGGACTCTCTTGTTTATTTTTTAAAAAGCGGCGCTTTGTTTCATTTTCATTTTCATTTTAGCAGAACTCTACCAATTTGGCAGGGGAGGTCTTTGGGGATAGATGCGCAGATAACACACAGACTCGCTTTCAATTTTTGTGAGAGCTTAGGAAGGATGGCTCCAGAGCAAACTAATTTATGTAGTAGCCAAATCACTCACTCACAACTTTAATGACAGTGGCTCACAAAGGCTGCGGTCACACGGAACATTAGCCACGTTAGAGAGACGGAAGTCAGGCGGAGTTTCCAGGCGCGATCTCACCGGCACATCTGGGAAGCGTAGCTCTCCCGTGGCTCAACCGAGGCTTCCCGCCGAAACCGCGCAGCAAAAAACTAGTACCTCGGAGGTACTAGTATCCGGAAACCGCGGTGCAAGGGCAGGTGTCTGATCGCGTTTCCGGTGGCATCCAGCGCCCGCCCATGTCCCCTTGCAAACAAGGGGTTTTTTTTCCAAGTCTCTTTGGATGCGCACAAGCACCCAACAGAGCATGCGCATTTATGGTGTACACGACAAAAAAACCCCACCCGTTTGCCACACCGCGCGCTTCTTTGTTGCGCGCAGGATTGTCCTGTGATCAGCACCTCTCCCTTCCCACGGAACCTCCACGGGACCTCCACGGAACCTCCAGGGGAGGTCTGATCCCTTAACCGCGCGTTAGTTTGCCCCGGGGCAAACAGCCACGCTCCCCCCCCCCGCAGTTTCCTGCCCGTGTGACCGGAGCCAACGTAGATTTTTTGCTCACAAGACGCCAGAGCTTAGAGGGAGCATTGAAAGAGAGTCTGTGTGTTATCTGCGCATTGATCCCCAAAGACCTCCCCTGCCAAATTGGTAGAGTTCTGCTAAAATGAAAAGGAAAATGAAACAAGCCGAAGAGCCAGCGCTGTCCGAAGACGTTTCCGTGGTCATGTGGCCGGCATGACTAAACACCAAGGCGCACGGAACGCTGTGACCTTCCCACCGAAGTGGTACCTATTTATCTACTTGCAATTTCTTGCTTTCGAACTGCTAGGTTGGCAGGAGCTGGACCTAGAGACGGGAGCTCACTCCGTCATGCGGCAACTCGGGTCTCGAACTGCTGAACTACTGACCTTCCACAGCCTGCAGTTCAGCGTCTTAACCACTTGAGCCACCGCAGCTCCTATGAAAGCTCCTACCCTGGCACAAATTTTGTCAGTCTTTTAAGCTGAGCCTCCGGTGTTGAGCCTCTTCTTTCCTCTTTGTGTGCAAGTCACCCTAGGAATGAATGTCCTCCGAAACGTCCGCTCGTTGATAGCCTTGCTCAGGTCTCGCAAACGGAGGCCTGTGGTTTCCTTGAGTGAGTCCGTCCATCTCATGCTGGGTCTCCCTCTTCTCCTGCTGCCTTCCACTTCTCCCGGCATTCTTGTCTTTCCCAGTCAGCCTCGTCGTCTCATAACGTGACCAAAGTCCTTTCTCTAAACTTATCTAAATCCATGCCCTTCTAAAATAAAGGAGAAGCGATGAGGATACCATGCGTGCTCAGGAAGACTCGTGTACACTAGACACACACCGGTGTGGATGGCCTGAGCAGGTGAGTCAAAATCCATTCTGGGAAAGGCAAACGTCAAAGAGAGAACCTCTCCCTCACCGCCCCTCACACCTCTCTAATGGAGATGCAGGAGTTGCCAGCTCCAAGATGGGAAATTCCTGGAGATTTTGGGGTGGAGTCTGGCGTTTGGGGAGGGGCCTCACAGAGGCTGTCCTCCAAAGTAGCCATTTTCTCCAGGGGGGCAGATCTATATCTATAAAATACATATTTGAAGGGCTGCGGTGGCTGAAGTGGTTAAGACGCTGAGCTGCAGAGCGGAAGGTCGGTAGTTCAGCAGTTCGAGACCCGAGTGCCGCGTGACGGAGTGAGCTCCCGTCTCTCGTCCCAGCTTCTGCCAACCTAGCAGTTCGAAAGCAAGAAATTGCAAGTAGATGAACAGGTGCCGCTTCGGGGGGAAGGTAACAGCGTTCCGTGCGCCTCGGCGTTTAGTCGTGCCGGCCACGCGACCATGGAAATGTCTTCGGACAGCGCTGGCTCTTCGGCTTGGAAACGGAGATGAGCACCGCGTCCCTAGAGTCGGATTCGACTGGCTTTCGAGCGGGGAAACCTTTACCCTTTACTATCTCCCCGTATGGGCCCCGGGGAGCCTTGAGCTCTGCCGATCAATATCTGCTGGTTGTCCCCGGCCCAAGGGACGTCTGCCTAGCCGCAACCAAGGCCAGGGCTTTTTCTGCCTTGGCCCTGGCTTGAAGGAACAAGCTTCCACCTGAGATCAGGGCCCTGCAGGACCTATTACCATTCTGCAAGAAACGGAGCTGTTCCGCCAGATCTTTGGTTGAGGCAGCGGGTGTCCAGTGGAAAAAGTCGGCCTCCACTGCTGAAGACCACGGTCACTGCTTGGACCAGTTCAAGGAGACCTCAGAGACCCAACGACACCAGCTTTGGAGATTGTGGGCACAAACAGTGCAATTTGTTTTAAATTATTGCTCTGAGCTGTTCTAATCTGAGTATGATGTATTTACATCGTAAAGACGGAGCTCTTCTGCCAGGCATACAATTAGGGGCCGCCGCCGCCCTAGTGCATGGCCCCGGTAATGTTAACATCGAGCAGCTGCCTCAAGAACGAGCAGAATAACATCTAAACACTTTCTGTGGAATAACACCGAAGCACTTTCTTGGAATGCACTTTATTCGTTTGATTTCTAACTGCCTCCAGTATTCTGATATTTTGTAATGTACTATTTTAAATGCTGTGTCTTAATTCTGTATTATTTATGTTTTTATTCTGTGTTTGTTGTTGGAAGCCGCCCTGAGCCTGCTATGCAGGGAGGGCAGGGTATAAATTTGACTATAAATAAATATAAACAGGGGTCATTTCGTAGAAAAAGGGGTGCAGGAGCTTATTAGCATAACTCATTTGCGTAACTCATTTGCATATGCCACACCCCCTGATGTCACCAGAAGTGTGTCAGAAGGCAACACCCACCGCTCAGGCGCCACTGGACTGTTTTGGATTGCTAGCTGGGGGGGGGAATGCTCAGATCCTTGTGCTCCTCATGGCCTGGTGCTGCTGGGAGCAGGGGGCGGGGCTTGTTGCATGTGCCCGCCCCCTGGGCTCTTTACTGCCGGAGCTCCGCTCCTGTGCGCTCCTGCAGGAAATGACCCCTGAATATAAATAACTTGTGGGGAGGGCGGAGCAGAAATCTGAAATATAAATAAATAAATATCCCCTGGAGAGCAGCTGTGATTCCCGGAGATCGCCAAGTCCCACCAGGAGACTGGCAACCCTTAGCAGGTTTGGGTTTTAACAGCCAGCTACAGAGAAAGCGGGCATACACATTTCCTTCTAAGGGAACTTTAAAAGCTGGAGAGCCAATGTGGGGTATTGGTTAAACTTCAACAAAGATTTGCGAAATCCTGGTTCACATCCCGACTCGCGCCACGGAAGCTTGCTGGGTGACCTCGGGCCAGTGACACACTGTCAGCCTAACCTACCACACAGGGGACAGATCAAGATGGGTAGCTGTGATTGTCTGTAGAAGAAGAAAAGAAGAACCTTTAAAGACTAACAGCAATAAAGAAAAGAAGTAGAAAAGTAGAACCTTTAAAAACTAACAATATTGGTGGCAGAAGAGGAGCTTTCGTGAGTCCCTGCCCACTTCTTCAGATACTGCTAGAATATCAGTCCATCTGTCCTATATATTGGAAAGTGGAGTGATTTCAGATTCCGAATGACATTAGCAGGCAAATGACAATAGCAGGTGTGACTGGATTAGATGGGATATGAAGAGAGGCAGCAGGCGTGGAGAAATCAGCATTGGTAATGAGAGTGGAAACCTAGGTCTCGATTCAGTCCAGGAGGATGCATCATCTTGAGCTTCGTTATCAGTTGCAAGTCAGCAGTCTCTCTAACAAAGGAATTTCAAAGATAGATTAGAGAGTGCTGAGTTGCAACTGATAAGGAAGCTCAAGATGATGCATCCTCCTGGACTGAATCGAGACCTAGGTTTCCACTCTCATTACCAATGCTGATTTCTCCACGACCACTACCACTCTGCATATCACACCTGCTCTTTTCTATTGCTACCTCACAGGGTTGTTGTGAGGATAAAAGGGAGGAGAGAATGATGTATGCTACTTTGGGCCTGTATTGGAAGTGAAAAGCAGATGATGTATAAAGTAAATAAAATTATTGTTTATTATTTATGTATTTATGTTTTAACTGATTTTATCTAGTTTTGTTTTATGGCTTTTGTACATCACTCAGAGCCCTGCTGTGGCAAGGGTTGGGCGATAATAATAATGATAATAATAATAATTTTTAATTAGACTTATTAATTGCCCCATCCTGACTTGCGCTGGGCTCTTATTAATTTACAACATGACATTAAACCTTAGAGACAATGTAAAAACATCAAAAATAAGATTAATAACATTAAAACAAATTTAAAACGAATTCAAGATGGGTCACTAGCAACTATACAATTTAAAAACTGGAGTTCTGAAAGATTTTTGCTGCTTCCTGACTTTTCTTTGGTTTGTTTTATTTTGGGGTGAGTGGAGATGTCAGTCTAAGGACCCATATGTCTCTGGGTCGATATGCACTTTAAAATGCATACCCCCAAATCTTTTTAAACTGATATTTATTTCTAGTAATTAAAAATAACAACAACAACTGAATCTAAAAGTCTAAGTCTGGGTGAGCTAATTTACACGAGGCCCTTTAAACACGATGCAAAACCTAGAAATGAGTGACGTATTTCGCATGCGCACTCCGTACTTTCCTGCTGCGCGAGGTTTAGGATGAGTCGCAGACAGGAAAGTCGACTGGGAATCCCCAAGCCGGCTATGCGAATTTGTTTCCCAACCTGTTCGCTCCCACGCCTGGGAGCGCTCCCAACCAATCCGAGACGACCGGCCCCACCGAAGCCAATCACAAAACAGAGCCGCGCGCCTGAACGAATGAGAGACCGCAAGCTACTTTATCCGTCCTATCAGAACGAGTTCTACGGCTGAGGAAGAGAAATGATCCCGCCTCTTTATTTCCTATTTTTTTAGAAGGGTATCGGGGAGGAGGATCATCGAAAGGAGGCGGGACCTTATTTGATTGGCAGAGGCCCCCCTCAGCCACTCCGGTACAAACTTCCGCCACGGCTCAGCCAACCGGCTCAAGCTCACGTGCCCTCCAGCCAACCGAGAGCGGCCCGGTTGCTACGGCCTGCCTAGGGCCCGCCTTTGCCCTGTTGCTAAGAGGGGTGGAAACGGAAGCCGAGCTCGCCGGGGTCAGAGGCCGGTAGTGTTGATGTTGACACTAGGCCGGGGTCCCGCTGACGGGCCGTAGCCGACGCCGCTGTCAGGAGAACCCCCCCCCCAAAAGCCTTCCGAGGGGAGACAGAAAGAAGGAAACGGGACTACCTCAGGACAGCCGCCTCCCTCAGGCGCCTCCCCCCGGATGGATGGATTGATTCCCCGTCTCTTCCGCCTCCCCGCTGAGCTGTGGGGGTGAAAGCCATACGTGGTGATCGATCCTGGCATCCGGGCATTCCCCCCACCCTCCTTACCCTTTCCTGAAGGAGCCGTCCCCTCCACCCCCGCGCTGCTCCTTCCCCCGTCCCCCCCCCCGCAGCTTAGCCCTCTCCATCCGGGTAGTCGCTCGGTCGCTTAGCCTTCGTCATCCGGGCATTCGGCGTGCCCCTTAGCCCTCTTCATCCGGGCATTTGCCTTGCTCTCTCGCCCTCTCTCCCCTCCCGCTGACCCGCCGTTAGCCCTTCCATCCGGGTCCCTCTCCAACCGCCCTCCCCTCCGGGTTACCTGTCAGCGGCCCCTTGCCCTCTCCATCCGGGTCCCTCTCCTCCTCGCCCAGCGGGGCTTCTCCCCTCCCGTCGTCATGACGATCCTGCCCAAGAAGAAGCCTTGCCCGGCGGCGGGGGACGGCGACCGGGACCAGCCGGGCTCCCGCGGGGGAGTGGCGGGCGGCCCCGGGGGCCCGGGCGGCGTCGGCGGCCCTGACTCCCGCGGCTG